TATTTCTAGAGATTTAACCTCAGAGTCCGAGACACACCACTGTCCTAGGATTTTCTTTTTGCCTCACCTGGATGCATGAGACCCTGTTAATCTTAGTGAGAACTGTCATAGCTAAGTACTTGTCCCTTGCCAGGCACTGCCCCGCACTGTTCTTGAGCTTTCCAGGGAGGAGCTCATTGACTCCCCCAAATCACCTACAGATAGGTGCTACTCTTTTTCCTTCTAATGATAAGGAAACCAAGACCCATGAAGTCTGGTTCTTCGTTGAAGGTCCCACAACTAGAAAGGAGTGGAGCTGAGATTTGAACCCAGGGGTCTGACTGCAGAGTTCAGCCTCTGAAGATCTTGGCTGTTCTACTTCATGGTTACATGAGCTTGAGGCAGCCACTTCCCTTCTCTGAAGAAAAGGCAGTTTCTTTGTTTTACAACCCTGTGGTTCCAAAGTTTAGATGTGCTTCCCCTAGAGTGTTCCCTTCTTGAGGTGAGGAGGAATTTATGGGTGTGCGGAACCACTGCAGTTTGAGAACCTTTTGGAGTGTGCTTTGATCTCGGAATACTGGACTTGGCTCAGCCTGAGGACTGACTTTAGTTAATAATTAACGCGTGTCCCAGAGACAAGGGCAGAGATTGGTGCATTCCACTACACACTTGGCTGGGAGTGGGAGAAGCAAGCAGTTTCATTTTGCACTTTCCTGTTACTATTCTGCGACAGCCCATGTGGACTTCCTCTTTAGGACAGATTCTTAACCAGAGGAGCCAGGGAGTTTGCAAGAACACTTTAAAACCATGCAACGTCAACCAGCACCAAAGGCATGACTAAGCTAATCCTGGTACTGTGGGCCGAGCTGCCCAAAGTGGATCTCTGAACCTTTCCCCCAACTTCCACCACGTCTTAATTTTTTTCCTTTATTTTTTTTAAAAATATTTATTTATAAGCTCAGAACTTCTTGATTCTTGATTTATTTCATGAGAAAAGGAAACAGACAGGTGGAGAGAGGGAGAAGACATGCACTCCCAATATGGTCTTATTTTTTTTTTTTTGGAGAGGTTTTCGCTATAGAGTGTGTGCGCTCGCCAGACAGAGAGAGACATAGAGACAGAAAGCGAGAAATCACCCCCCAGAGGGGATGGTCATGCCGCAATCCCTTCTCCTCCGTTCTCCTCTTGGGATCTTGGGCACGCACACACGCGCACCCAGTGTGAGTTTTAAGCAACCGGGTCCAGGACTCGAACCGCGGAACCGCTGCCGACCACGTGGGAGTCCAGCGACATAGCCATTACGCTAACTGCTGGTTCCCCCAATATGGTCTTTATGCCACTTTCTTCCCCTAGCCTCAACCAGCAAGGGTAATGGGCTTGTATGCACACCCAGAACATGGACTAGGACCTTCTCAGATGGCCTCAGCACCGCAGAGTGTTGTCTGACCTCTGTGCCACCCTGGCTGGCCTCTATTCATTCTTCTTGATGTCTACCCACCCTCTACATAGCCAGCGACGGTTAAATGCTGGCTCAACCCAAACAAACTTTCTACCAGGAACTCAAGCAGATCCATGTGACCTTAATGCCCCGACCATCCATCCTCTGCCAGTAGCTTAGCCTCCAGCCTCCACAAAGCAAAAAGTCATGTGAGGACATCGGCCTCTCCTAACAGGAAGGGCACAGTGACTGAATTTGTGTTACAGGACTCCCTTGAGAGAAAAACTCTAGGATAAGATGCCACATCAGAAAATTATTAGTAAGGATACCCAAGTGCTTGGGGAAAGATGTTTGGAGAGTCTGAGTCTGTCTCTTTCTAGTTGACAGAGTGACAAATGGTACAGCAGCCCTGGTCTCCATGGAGGTGCCGGAGCATCTGCTGACACTCTAAATTAATTCTTTTTTAGGGGAAAGGTTTTTGTTATAGAGCGTGTGCACTCGCCGAGGTGCCGGAGCATCTGCTGACACTCTAAATTAATTCTTTTTAGGGGAAAGGTTTTTGTTATAGAGCGCATGCACTTGCCAGGAAGACAGAGAGAGACAGAGAGACAGAAAGCGAGAAATCACGCCCCAGGGGGGATGGCCACACCACAAACCCTTCTCCTCCATTCTCCTCTCGGGCTCTTGGGCATGCACGCACACATGCCTGGTGTGAGTTTTGAGCCACCAGGTCTGGGACTCGAACTGCAGTCAACTACATGGGAGTCCAGCGACATAGCCATTATGCTAACTGCTGGTCCCAACACTCTAAATTCTGAAAGCAGCACAAAGGTCTGGATGGTCTCTTCAGGGGGTCTTTACCCAGGGTCCGGCTCTGAAGGACTTGAGGGCTCAGAGCTTCTTGCTTCTGACTTGGTTCTTCGTTTCTACGTGATGATCTCCGTTCTTCCACCTTTTCCTGTAACAATCAGGAGTGCCTGACCTTTGGCAATGGATGTGATGCTGTTGTGCTCTCAGCCATGTGTTCTGGGGTTCTTTCTGGAGAGGGGAAATATATATTTTATTATTATTAAAAAATTATTATTATTATTATCTGAAGCCACTTCTTTTCTGCCTGGCTAAAGACGTACACATTTTCAGGAGATAACTTAAGCGGTGCAGAGGCTCTGCTGAAGCCACCTTGGCGGATCTGTAATCACATGCTGTTCACAATGGTCTTCCTAAACAATTGCACATATCGACACATTTCCACTGTGATTGTATCTCATTGTCATACTGAGAGATAAAGTTACCAAAGAGATTTCTCTGTTTTCAGAGGAATCAGATCACTCCAGAATCCTGCCATCTGAAAAAAAATCATTTGATGTTTTTCTTATTTTGTGTATTTCTTACCTACACTTCCTTCATGTTTCTAGTGTGAAAAGGTGGATGATTTTGCATATACTATGGGTTTGCCAATGTTAAAATATATATTCTAGGGGCCAGCAGGTGGCATGATGGTTAAGGGGCTAGACTGCCATATGGCCAACCATGGTTCATGTCCTGGTGGCTTGCTTTCTCACTTTCCCACATTTCTTTCACTCTCTGGTGAGCACACATACCCTATACCAAAACTTAAAATAATAATAATAATAAATTAATTAAAAATAATATTATATATGTATATATACATATATATTTAATACACACACACACACATATATTTTTCTTTTAACTCTAGAAATTGAAATTCTCCTCTGAAACTAGATGAAGTCTTGAGTTTTAATCAAGACCTGGCATTTCATACCTTGGAATGAATCACTTAATTCCAAACTAGAACCAAAATCTTAAAAACTCTCCACCTTTGGTAGTAGGAGAGGCATCTTGAAAGAAAGGGAAGTGGGTGATCTTTAGTGCAAATGAGATTTATCCTTTGTCCTGGGCTCTAAGACTTGCAAAGGATCTTTGATTTGGACTGTATTTGGATTACAGTTTAGCAGCAGTGCAGAGTGGTCAGAATCGCCAACCTTTCAATACATGACTGTAGAAACGATACAATACAAATATTCCATGGGATTTAGACTAAAGAAAGCATGGTTTAAATAGCTGATGTTGGGCTGGCCCCATGGCGTGGTGATTAAGGTGGCTGAATTCCATATGGCTGACCCTGCACTTTACGTCCCAGACCTGGTAGCTTGTGAAACATGCTGGCTGCAAGTGTGTATGTGTGCCCAAAATCCTGAAAGGAGGTAGAGATGGAGGAGAAGGTGTTGTGTTTGACCATTTTCCATGGGGAAGGGGAGTATGCTGTCTCCTCGCCTCTCTCTGTCTCTTTCTATGGCAAAAGCATGCACCCTTTAACAACAACAAAAAGTTGGCATTAAAATATCCAGCTTTGCTCTTTCTCACAATGAACTCATTTAGTACCAATAGATGGCATAATGGTACGTTGCTAGACTCCCATGTAGTTGACTGCAGTTCGAGGCCCAGACCCAGTGGCTTAAAACTCATGCAGGGCGCATATGTGTGTATTCCCAAGATCCTGAGAGGAGAATGGAGGAGAAGGGATTATGGCATGACCATCTCCCCAACCCCGGGGGATGATGTCTCACTTTCTGTCTCTCTGTCTGGTGAGTGCACGTGCTCTATAGCAAAAACCTCTCTCTAAGAAAAGGTGGTTGGTTATAAATACTTAGGGCATGGTGGTGAGAGCACTTGACTCCTACATGGCTACTAACTCTGGTTCGAATCCCAGTGGCTTGCTTTCTCACTTTCACTCTCTCCATTGAGTGTGCCTGCCATGTAGCAAATTAAAAAAGAAAAAAAAAGATAAATAAAATTAAATAAATAATTATTTAATAAAGAAACACATAGACCCTTAGAAATGAAGATCTCTGCTAAGTATCGAATAGTTCTATTTCTTCTTCTTCAAGGAGGCAGCTGTGTACAGGATGGACCGGAAACACAGAGGCCACTGTGTCATTGTCAACAACTACAAATTTACCACCATGACAGACAGACCAGGAACCCATAAAGATGCAGGTAAGAAAGCCTGCCGGGCCAGTCGGTGGCATGGTGGTTAAAGTGGCTGGTTGCCACATGGCCGATTGCATGGTCCAGGCTTTTGAAGAAAACACTCCAGATGCATGTGTATGTATGTCTCAAATCCCAAGGGAGCATGGAGGAGAAAAGATTGTGGCATGGCCATCCCCCCTGGGGGAGACCTTTCTCATTTTCTCTTTCTGACAAGTATTTATACCCTATAGTAAAATTTAAAAGAAAAGAAAGTGTGGCATAGTTTACCAAATGCAAGATCTCAAAATAATTTTTAATTTTCACATTTTCTTTCGGTCACTTTTACTTTCCTTTTGAATGGAAAGATGATATTATCCTGGACATCTCTGGGGTGTCAGCAATCTGGCAAAGAGTGACAAGAATCCCTGACCACTTGCAACCCTGTGGTTTAGTGGGGAGCATGCTGGGTCAGCGAGAAGAAACCTGAGGTTGAGCTCTGGTTCCACCACTAGCCAGGTCTGTGACTGGGGGACTCATGGGCCTCAGCTTCCTCATCTGTGAAATGTGGAACTCTGGTCACTGCTGACTGTCAGGATGGTTATGACGACACTGGGTACTTCCAAAAGTCATGTTAATTGTGAGATTTTATTGCTATGGAAATAACAATCTATATGTTATTATTATGAAAAAAGAATCTAAAGCTTTAGTTTATTAGCAGCACAATTTAAAAACTATTGGCATCGTTTCACTCCTTCGTTTGGTCTCATTTTTCTCCTCTTTATTTCGTTTCATTATTTCCCCTTTCTATCCTTTTTATTTTGCAGAGTGCCTGGAGCATGTGTTCCAGTGGCTTGGGTTCACAGTGCATATGTATGACGATGTGACTGAGGAAGGCATGGAGAATCTCCTGCAGGAGTATAAGAGACATCCCGGCCATGTTGACGCGGACTGCTTTGTGTTTTGTATCCTAACCCATGGGAAATTTGGAGCTGTCTATTCTTCAGATGGGGTCCTTATTCCTATTCGGAAGATCATGGCGCACTTCACAGCCCATCAGTGCCCTGGACTGGCTCACAAGCCCAAACTCTTTTTTATCCAGGCTTGTCAAGGTGAAGAAGTGCAACCTTTCACCTCTATTGAAGCAGATGCTCAGAATCCTGATCACATGCCCCCTCCCCTTAAGGACAGTATTCCTGTTGAGGCAGATTTCCTACTTGGCCTGGCCACTGTTCCTGGCTACGTATCCTTTCGGCACGTGATGAACGGCAGCTGGTATATACAGTCTCTGTGTACTCATCTGACGCTTTTGGTTCCCAGGTGAGAATTCTGAGTTGTTCCACATACCTACCTGCTAATCCATCAATCCGTCTATCCACCTACCTGTCTATCTTTCTATCTGTCCATCCATCCTTCTATCCATCCACCCATTCACCTATCCACCCATCCATCTACCCAACAGTTTTTCAATGAACACCAGCACAAACCTGGTAAGGAAGATCTGGAATACAGTCTGTGCCTTCAAATTGCTTATAAGCTAGAGGGACAGATGAATGGGTAGACTGGGAAGAGCATCCTCAGATGGTAAGTGCACATTATGAAGTTTAGTTCTTATGGGAACATGCAGTCAGGTGCCTCCCCCAGATCTGAAGGCGTAGGGCAGGCTTGCAAAGATGAGGAATATTGGTAGGCAAAGAATCTAGGTGGAAGACATGCTTGGCAGGGGGACTAGTATGAACCGAGGCATAGGGGCCTGTTTTTCCCCCCTCATTTTTATTGTCATGTTATTTCCCAAGTCTTTTCAAATCAGCTTTTGCATTTAGCGCTCTGTTGAATCTGCTTTCGTTAAGAACTCTGAAGACTGCACCACTGCCATATCCGCTGGATGGCTGTCAGTGGCTCCTTTGCTCAGTCCCTCAGCAGAGTTGGGCCCTGTTGGTTTCTCCCTCTTTCAGGGACACTGTCTGCATTTGGCTTTACCCTGTTGGATTTTTTGTGCCTTCGTCTATGAATATATCAGGCACTGATATTTCTGAGTGCCTCCATGCTGTTTGGGGCATTCTAATGTGCTTGGTCTTCAACACTGCTCTGACAACTGCCCTTCTATCTCTGTCACATATTAGCTGCTACCTAGAAATGGGCTTTCCCTGAGGTTCTGCCCTGAACCCCTGCTCTATACGTCACCCTCATTGGCAGTTTCATCTGTATCTGGAGGCATGGCACCTCCATGCAAACCTCTGCCAAATCGCTGTCTCTAACCACTCATCTACGAACTCCTGCTTCATTCCACTGTATTTCCTCAGTCCCTGATGTGGTATTCGATGTATTGTTGGCCTTGATAACCATTTGCTGGGCTGATGACTGACTGACTGAGTCAAGTTCGCACACAGCCTGCTAGTCCTCCCACCTGTGTGTTGCTGTCGGACCTCCCTGTCAGTATGCATCTTCCAGAATTCATCTTTACAGCCCCTGCCAAGAGGTCCTGCACCCCCATTTCTGGCAATGGCCACAAGCCACAAGGCTCTTCTGGAAGTCAGGATTGGAGCTTTGAATCAACTTCGCCTCTCCTCCCCTCTCCCCATCGCTTTACACCTCCCTGTGTTCTCCTTCTGCTCCTCCTCCTTTCTTCAGTTTATTTATTTCTTCTATGAGCAAGAGTAACAGACAGGAAACACACGGACAGAGTCTTGATAACACAATCCACTCCCAGCATTAGCCAGATCTGGATCATGGGCATACACACTCTACACTCTTAGTGCAGACCCGGAACTTTCTCCTGTGACTCAGCTTCATAGAGCGTCACACTTTACTGCTGCCCGACTGTCCTGCCCTGCTTTCCCCTCTTCTTTACCAATCACTCCACCCCCCACTAGAGCCATTAAAGGCCAGTGTCCTCTGGCTTCAGGGACAAAGTAATATTCATTGAGGTTTTGCTATGTGTCTTTTGTACTGGATACTAAGGTAGAAGCTGAGGGAGCAGGAGTGAATGAGAGACAAAATATCCTCTCCGGGGAGCTCACAGTCTAGTGAGTAAAAACTAAATAAGACAATTCGGGAACCAGCAGTTGGCTTAATGGCTATGTTGCTGGACTCCCATGTAGTCGACCGCGGTTCGTGTCCCGGACCCGGTGACTTAAAACTCACGCCGGGCACGTGTGCGTGCGTGCCCAAGATCCCGAGAGGAGAATGGAGGAGAAGGGATTGCGGCGTGACCATCCCCCCTGGGGGGTGATTTCTCGCTTTCTGTCTCTATGTCTCTCTCTGTCTGTCTGGCGAGCGCACGCGCCCTACAATGAAAATCTCTCCAAAAAAAAAAAAGAAATAAGACAATTTCAGGAAGTGATAACTGCTATGAACAAAGCAGTCAGGGTAAGATATAGAATGGAGGCAAGGGGCTACTCGAAAAGGCTTGTTGGTAGAGGTAATGCTTCATGTGAGACTAAATGATGAGAAGGAAACAGCCACAGGAAGTTTTGAGAACAGAGCCATCAACCAGTGCTACGCAGGGTGAGAAGACTGAGACCCACACAGGGCCTACATCACCCACCTGAAAAATAATGAGGAGGAAGAGAAGAGTCGCAATAGTAATTCTAAACATGATGGTCCCCGGGAGAGTGTTCTGAGTACTTTACTTGAGTTATACCATTAATTCCATGGCCATCCCTAAGATGGAGGTTATTATGGTCCTCATTTTAGGGCTGAGAAAACTGAGGCACAGAGAAATAGGTCTGCCTAAGACCACACCATTAGCAAGCAGTGGAGCCACGATTCAAAATTGAGTGTGCAAAACAGAAAAAAAAAAAAAATCAAGTCTGAGCCCAGCCTCTGTGGTGCAGTTGGTAGTATATAGGACATGAGCTGGAAGCCACCTGGCTGCTGCAGTTCGAGTCCCTGGTTTGATCAACCTGAAAAACATACCGGGTAGAATAACTAACTACCTAACTAAATAGATAAATAATTGGTGTGAGGAGAAGATAAAAACTAATTTTTTCAGAACATTTTGCTGCAGGGTGCATGTGCTCACCAGAGAGAGACAGAGAGAGAGAGAGAGGAAAAGTGAGAACTCCCCCCCAAGGGAGAAGGGCCATGCCACAATCCCTTCTCCTCCATTCTCATCTTGGGATTTTGGGCACACTCTCACACACACCTATGCCAAGCATGGCTTTCAAGTTGTCAGGTCCAGGACTCAAACTGCAAAGTTGGCCATGTGGGATGCAGACACCTTAACCACCACAACAGAGGCTGACCTCAATAATAAAAAACGTTTTTAAAGACTGAGCCTATCTCCAGAGTCTATGTTTGCTCTCAGTGATAGTATTGCCCACCCTCAGGATGTGCTGGGAAATGCTATAAGTCTTGCAAACCCTGGTTCAGGTGCTGTCTCCCCTATGGAGTCTCTTCGATTTCTTTCAGCCAGAGAGTACTGTCTCTTTCCTCTGAACTTACAATTGGAACATGGGCCTACTCTTCATATGGAATTGATCACAGTCTGCATTGTATTATGAGTAGTGTGTATACGCCATCTTGGGCAAATGTTTTGTGTCTTCATTCTAAGTGTGAAGTTCAGGAATTGTGTCATATTTCTCTCTGTATCTCTCCCAAAACCAAGGAGACACTTTTTAATAAAATGTGGTATCTGCATGCATCTCTGAGACCTAGTCATGGTATCTGGGATCTTCCTAAAACCTGGTCCGTGATTTCTGCCTCCTGATTGGAAATATTTTTCTTCTTTGTCTACAGACATGAAGACATCTTATCCATTCTCACTGTCGTCAACGATGATGTGAGTCAACGTGCAGACAGTCAGGGAACAAAGAAGCAGATGCCCCAGCCCGCCTTCACACTAAGGAAAAAGCTAGTATTCCCAGTGCCAAGAGACTCTTTTTGTTAAAGAACTTTGCATTGACTCTAGGACTTGGAAGAAACCTTTGGTCCTGTCTTCTAACCTTTTACCTAGCACAAGATTGGGTGACAGTAACAGGAAATGCCCTGTTTTCTGTCACAGTTAATTCTGGGCTTTTCGTTTTTTGTTTGTTTGTTTTTATTGCAACTTGCAAATCTAAATGTTAGAAAACCTTCTTCATTGATGACTGAGTTGTAGACTCCGTTTTGGTTATGTACCCTGAAGACAGAGTAATTGGTTAGCACATCTGTGAAATGCAAGGTGGCACCAGGTACAGTTTAGGTTCCTTTGAGCTCTAAGAACCACTGTTCTCAGCCTAGATCTAGCATAGATTTTCCTCTGTGAAAACTACCCTTAGTTGTAACTGTGTCCCCTTTGCATGGCCTAGTACATTGGGCAATGAGACCATGAAGCACCCAACCTTCCTTAGGCCTCCCCTTTCATAAGGCTTAGCTTCTGCACACCAGTGAGGAGAGTTTGTATGCCCATTTCTGCGGTAGCTTAGTGAAGGTGCTCATGCAGGAACTCGTTTGTCTTGGAGACAAGTTTGGTTCTAGGAAGGTGACGACAATCCATTGTAAAGAGAAACACACTTTATAGGAGCAGAAACTTTACAACCTGATGCCAAATTCTGTTAGGATGCTGTCAGCTGCTTGTGACAGAACACTCAACTGACTAAAATTCAAGACAGGAACTTACTGCCTTTCGCCTGGAAGCCCCCAGGAAGGTAGCTCAGGCTTCAGTCACGTCTTGAACAAGGACTCATTCTGCAGCTACTCCCTTTCTCTCGGCCAGATGTGCTCAGGGATACCAGCTGCACCGTGTGGACTGCAGTCAACAGCCACTGTCACTAATACACTTTTCTCCTCTGACCCAAAGGATGAGGAACGAGGCTCTCGCAGAGACTGGAGCTATTCTCAGGGATTATTGACTGTCCTTGGCTATAGCAATGTCTGGCTACGCCTAGGAGGAGTGGCCCTGCAGAGAAGCCTTATTTTTTAGGTTAAGGTTTTGAATATATATTTTGTACTTGAATTTTTTTTTTCAGTTTTAAGAGGAAATTTTCTCTTTAGTTCCTGGGACTGTATTTTGAATACTTGGTTAGACCTGGGAAGGAGAATGAAAGTGCTATGATTAAGGCTCTCATTTACAGATGAGGAAGCTGAGGCCCAGGGAAGCTAAGAAACTTGCTCAAAGTCCTCCAGCCAGTCACTGTTTACAGGATTTTATTTCCCACTTACGTGAACTCGAACGCCACAGGATGCAAATCATTATGAACATTTCCTCGGACATGCAGATGGCTCAGAAAACACGTCAAGAAGTGGAGAAAAATAATGCTTCGCGTGCGTGATTTTATACTGATGTGTGTGAATGTCAAATTCACTTACAGCAAAATTTCTGCAAGACGTACCCATCAGAATCCTGTTATAATGTATTTGGTCATTACATGGATTTGAATGTAGCTTGACTGAGGTGTTGTCTAATACATATTTCAGTCTGATCATCTGAAACCATTGTTCATGCAAGTCAAGGCTACAGGCTGGCAGTCACAGTCTTTGTCCACCTGGATAAACATGGTCTTTGGCCATGTAATAGTCCTTCTCTTCAAGTGAAGGATGGCATGGTACAAAGGAAAAAACAGGATCTGGAGACTGGAACCTCGGATTTCAATTTAGCCCGCAACTCCCTTGCTCTGAGACACTACATCATGCTAGCTTTTTGAGATTTATCTGTAAATGAGAGAAAATATTAGCTTCAGGGAAGATGAAAGAGACTATGTATATGTCATGGTGAATTTACTGTGGTGACCATATACAGCCTTTAAGGTGGTAGGTCTTCTGGTAACAACCTGACCAGAACTCACAGGGCTTGAGCTCCTTTGCATCTAATTCTAGCTGACTGTTAGCAAGTCAGCACTAGCAGTGCCCCTGGCATCTTCGGAGGGAAGAGCTGATTTCCCCCTCCCGAATCCAGGAGGTCCTCACAGATAGAGGGCCAGCTCTTGGCTCTGAGTCCAGTTGGACAAAGCCATGTTGATAGAATCTTCTTCAGAAGCATTTGGACTTTGAAGTTAGAGTTCTGGTCCTGCGGCCTACTGCACATTTCTGTTTGCTGGAACTGAAGACTTATGCTTCTAGACTCCATGAACTTCCTTTTTAGAGGCCTCCAGCATATACTTGAGGAATCTCTGGACACTCATACCTGTGAGTCATGGGTATTGGCAGACACCAGGAGGACACTCATCCTTGACTCACTTCTCCTGAATAGAGCAGGTGCACACTTGATGGAGTATTCCCTCCAAGACTGTAAAACATTAGACTTTGTCTGTATTTAAGTGTGTGTGTGTGTGTGTGTGTGTGTGTGTGTGTGGATTTAGAGTCCAGGAATGACAGGTGGTTTGGTCACAGCTGTTAGGCAGCAGGCAGTAGTTATGGCCATTGTTTCCCCAGGTTTTTTCTTTTAATTTTTACATTGACCAGTTTATTATAAAAGATATTACAGGAGTTGGGACCAGCAGTCAGTGTAATGGCTATGTTGCTGGACTCCCATGTAGTCCACTGTGGTTCGAGTCCCAGACCCGGCAGCTTAAACTCATGCCGGGCACGTGTGCATGCATGCCTGAGACTCCGAGAGGAGAATGGAGGAGAAGAGATTGCGGCGTGGCCATCCTCCCTGGGGGGTGATTTCTCTCCTTCTGTCTCTATGTCTCTCTCTGTCTTTCTGGCAAGCACAAGTGCCCTATAGC